CTGTCAGCCTTCTCTAAAAATTATAGAGGAATCTCATGGGTCCTTCTTACAGTGTTCAAGAAGAAGGTAATCTCAGCAAAGCACTTTGTTCCTGAGCATGAGAACGTTTGCCATTGCTTTTACCCAAGTTGACTATATGAGGTGCCTTTTTGTGTCTGTGGTAACAAGGTTTTCTGCTCAGATAAAAATATCTTTCTAGTGTGCTAATAGGTTTTTTTAAGTACCTGTAACAGTTGGGAATATCAGTTAATAGGCATGAGGTAAACAGCCCGTATTAATTTTTTCTTGTTAATAGTTTTATGTGCATATTTCTTTTCCCTCTGTCCTTGATTCTGCAGACTGGAAAACGAGTGGGCAAGGTATTACATGCCTCCTTGCAGACTATTTTACAGAAAGAAGAAAACCTGGGACCCAAGAGACAGAAAGTTGGATTTCTGGGATAAATTACACTTCAACCTTGCTAGTTGTGACTTTAAAGACAAAAAAAAATGCAAAAAATTATATGTATTTTTATTAGATGGCTTGACCTTTGTAGCATTTGTATGTATAAAATTAAAAAAAATTTTTAAGTTGTTTAGTATTGGCATCTTTCTTTTTTATAGTCACAAACAAAAGACTTAAAATTTGACCAGACATCTTAGGTGCAGTTTGAGAGGTCTGTCTGTGTTGGCATCTCTCTTCCTCATGTCCTACAAATGGCAGCAGAGTCCATACTAGGGCTGATTGCTGAAGGAATGGTTCCTGTGCCTTTCCTTCCACAGGAGTCCTGTGGTTGTGCTGTTGAAAAGTAAATCTGAAATAACATATCAGTAAACATTAAGTGCCTAGTACAAAGTAGGTACTTAATAAATGTTTGTGATTGATTGACATGCTGAGAACATTTGAACTCTTTCCCTACAACCTTAAAACTTTTGACCAAGTCCTTTTAGAACAAAGATTCTTATCCTTTTTTGGGTCATGGACCCCTTTGACAGTCTAGTGAAGCCTATGAGAGCCCTTCTCACACTGTTTTTAAATGCATAAAGTAAAATACATGGGATTACGAAGGAAACAAGTTATACTGAAATGCAATTTTCTAAGTATTTTTTTAAAACAAGTTCATGGACCCAAGGGTAAGAACACCTACTTGAGAAGCCCTAGTTCTTGCAGATTTTACTTTCCATGAACCCTAAGAGAGCTAGAATCGGCTTTGAAGTGGTAAATGTCATTAAAAACTATGTAACATAGACATTGGGATTCTACCAGGTTTTTAGAAAACTCATAACTATGTCCTTTTTTTTTTATAAATTCTCTTGATGTTTTATAATAATTTGGAACATCTTAAGATTTTATTATTTTTCAAGTAGTTTTTTTTTTAATTTTTATTTTGTTACCTCTTTGTATTAAGACTTTTATTTTCAAATATGGTTCTACCCAAAGATACAGAGGTGGGGAGGAAGGAACAGATAGTAGCTGTTTAATTTCTTTTAAGTCTCTTCTGTTTTAAAGATTCTATTCAAAACTAGGCTACTAAAACTTTATATTCAAAATCTGATGCTTGAGGAGAAAAAAATATTGGTCACTAGAGAGGGATGTGATTCACCTATGGTATTTGTACTCCATATTACAATTTAGACATACAAAAAAGAAGTTAGGAATTTGTCACCCAACGAAATGGGTGGCACCTTGAGCTAAGGCCCTGGCTGAGGGATCCAGTGGTCCTATGGTAGTAGGACCCCCATATCTGTTACTTCTCTAGTGAACAAAGCTTTGAGAAAACAGCACCTGCTTGGCCATGATTCGAGACCTCTCTGGGTTCCAGTTCCAGCTCCCACTAGCTGACAGCCACATATTCTCCTCAGCAAACCACATAACATCTGTGGGCCTTCATTAGTACATGACTTTTAGAGGTCTGGACCTTTAAAATTCTTAGGTTTGTGTGGCAGAGGTGGCTTGACCACCTAGAATCCTGTTTTTTATCTTAAAAATAAACTACTTTCCTTGGGGCAGCGTATTCCTTATGTCTCATGACAACCACTACTTTACCAAACATTTGTATTGATTCCTTTGACAAGTTAGTTGGCCCTTTTCAATTTCTCCAGTTGGGCTGCAGGCGTACTCAGACTAGCTAACTCGCTGTTACAGAGGACGGAAAGGAAAAGAAACATTTGTGCTTCTGGTGCCGCTCATCTGATATATCACTTCATTAAGTCAGAGGAACAGTCATTTACCAGTCATTTATCTGATCCCCAGCTACAAGCTGGGAGTAAGAGACAAAAATGATACGGTTCCTGTCAGCAAGAAGGTGAGGTTCTCTAAAGGGAGACAACATATACATAGAATCATTTCTTTAGAAAAAGAGGGAAGAGTAGAGGTAATTATCTCTCGCTAGAGATAAATGCTGTGCCCAATATCACATAGCTAATTAGATCTGATGTTGTTCAAACCCAGGTCTTCTGAATGCTCTACCCACTACACTGTACTGCTTTTCATCAGTATATGAAAATATCTACCAAATAAAATAGAAGGCAGTTTAAGGAGGGAGGGCCTCAGCACCTGGGGGAAGTCAAGCAAGGTTTTGTGTAGAAAGATCATAGGTTTAGAGATGGAAGTGATCTTTAAGGTTATCCTCATCCAAATCCATCATTTTACAAATGATGAAACAGGCCTAAGTTGGTTTGGTGACTGGCCCACAGGTATTAAGTGGCATAGCCATGTTCTGTGACTATAGTTAGAATACTCTGGACTGCCAACGTGCTGCCTACCCACCTCTCCCTGTACAGTTTGTTTTCTTTCTGGGAGAATTAAATGACATCACCCAAACAAACTTGCCCAGCCTTTTCGTGGAAGGAGAAGCACTTATTGGAAATAGATGGTAACCCCAGCTCTTAGACACGAAAACTTTCCAGAAAAAAGACCCTGGAGGAACCTTGCATTCAGCCAAAAGAATGAGAATTGTCTTTAACAACCTTGTAAATAAGCATTTCACAGAGAAAACAATGAAATCAGCCAGAAAGCAATTAGCAAATAGTTCTGGAGGGAAGTAATGTTGAACAATAAGTTGTCTTTGTTATTTCCATGAATCTTTAATATGACAATCTTCCATAAACTTACCAAAACAATAGTTTATTCAGGGGATTAATATTAGCTTTTTCTTTTTTGCACAATTGAACACATTCCCTATTATTAAATGCAGGCAAACCTAGACCACTAAATGAACTTTATTATGCTAATGAAACGTAAGTTTTCAAATACTAGATCCTTGTAACTATTTCTGATTGGTGGTCAGTTGTACAGTTAAACTCAGCCCCTAAAAAGGCAACCTCATGGATTCATCCTTGTAAACTCAGCTGTGTGAACAGAACAATACCAAGTCCATGGAAAAGCTAGGCAGTGACTTATGTGGTCTGTCAGAGGTGTCAACCTCACATGGGTCCCTGTGGCCCTCAACACTCCCTAGTGAATCAGGACCAGATTAAAATTGGGAAATATTTAATAAAATACATAAAAATGCTTTAAACCAGTCAATATGCTTCCCTTAGGGAACCTTACATACAGATTAGTTGTCCTCTTTCTTTGTGAGTTTGATACCACTGGTCTACATAGATGCTTTGTTTCTGAGCCTTGCAAAGTTGTTATGAAAATGCCATTAAAATTTTTTTTTCAAGTGATTAAAAACACATGGAAGTAAAGCATTGAGTAAAATGAACTGAATCCATAGAACATTAGAGCTGGAGGAAACCTTATAAATCCTGTACTCCAAGTGTCCCTCCTTGTCTAAATTAGGAAACTGCAGCCCAGCCAAACCCCAGCTAGTTAGTGACTGAGCTGAGATGACTTCAGGCCACTGATCCCTCTCCTACATCGCAGATTCCACAATACTTCATTGTCCCTTGTTTTACCTTAGATTAAAGCTGTACTTCTAAATTCTCTATCCAGATTTACCATGAGGGGGAGTAGCAGCTTGGGGTGTGGGGAGTTTAAAGGAGTAGGATAGAGGGAGGGATTGGGTTTTTGTATTTATTGATTTTAAGAAAGAAAGACTTTTGGTAGTAAAAGGTTTGTGAACCCATAAAATGTGTCCTAAGCAAATTGAGAAACACTAAGCTAAACTGAAATAAAAATAGCTTCACAATTTCTTCTGTTTGAACTTCTGGTCCAAGCCTTCCTTGTAAGAGGCAGGGACTTATGGGAAGCCTTTATTGTTAAGCAGTCATTCCAGCACAGCTTCATTTTACTGTGCTAGGCCTAAGCAAATGAGTGTTCATGCATTTAAATGAGGGTGTTTATGGCTTTCTTCATTTCACAATGTACTCTGAAAACCCCAGCTGGCCAGTAAGATTCGTCGTTTTGTAAATCCAGACACCAGAAAGTCATGTGACTCCTGGTTTTTGAGATGAATAAAAAACCCGATTTGCATGCATGGCTAAGGTTCTATAGGAAATGTGTCTTAAACCTTACAGTTGTGTTGCATCTTATTTTATCATAGAGAGTCAGCACAGCATAAAGGTTAGAGGGTCTGGGTCCAAGTCTGTTAGAAAAATCAAACAAAAATCTACCACAGGAGTGAATGAAGGAAAGCCTTTATTACCCTTCTCATGAGAAAAGCAGGCACACAGCACTCCAGTGGCACGTGGGCACTGGTTCAGTGGTAGAATCAACTTTTAAATAGTAAGATCCATATTCCACCCACCAGGGCTAGGATGGTGTAGTTCATCTGAGTTACACTCTTCCTGAACTGCCCATCCCATGTTCCTCTATGTTCTGTTAACTCCTCCTACTTCGTGCATCCCATGTTCAAAAATGGGGTGTGTCAATTAATATTTAATAACCTTATTAAGCAAGCTCAGTGAAGAAAGGCCTTTGCCCTGTGGAGGCGCCGTCCTTGAACCTCAGGGTTACAACCTGTTTAGCCTCCAGGGCTCTTTCTTAATTACCTAGTTGTTTGTGGAATGTATGGGGCACTTTCTGATTGGTTGAGGAACTATGCACGAGATCTTGGAAGTCCTCAGAATCCCCTTGTTCTGTTGTGGAAGCCTAACTCCTAATCCTTTCTCACAAAGTCCACACATGCTATCTGTGTGACCATCCTGTGCCCCAACCAATTTGGTAAGACTCCATGTTTCAGAGTAGCTGGCTTGCCTCATCAGTGGATTTACACCAGAAGTACCCTACTAAGATGAAATCAGAGCCTGGACTCCCTAAGCCATCCCCAAAATGGTATCCTAATTTCCTGAGATCCCAGTATTAGCCATCTGCAGCCTTCCTGTTTCTGTTCCCATTTTGGAGTTCCTTTTGCAAAACATCTCTGTGGCTCCAGGTCCTGAACTCTTTCACACGTGTGAGGTAAGTGGGTCATAATTTGTATTAACTTTCATTTCAGAGATGAAATACAGTTCTTCCAAGTTGGTGGTTCTAGAGCTGGAAGGGACCTCAGACTGCCATCTTGTCCACTCCTCATTTTACAAATTAGGAAACTGAGGTCCAGAGAAATTAAAGTGAGTGACTTGGCCAGCATTTCAGGTGGGATATGAATCCAGGCAGGGCCTCTTGACTCTGAGGGTTCAGTAACTAGCTCTGCCTGCATTTAAACTTAGGTCCTGACCTCTAGTATGTGCACTTGGAGTATCTAGCCACACTGCTCCACCACGATGGATTACAGCAAAGGGATTGATGCCCTACTATTACCACCTCTTTCAGTGGGTTGTGTACAATCAACACAACCTACAACAAACTGTGGGACATAGGGGCAGGGTGAAGGGGAGGAAGGGGTACAAGAACCTCAAGTCAACAGTGTGCCATAGCCAAAAAGGTTAGTGCAATCTTAGGTTACATTAAATAAAGACGTTGTATCCAGAATATGGATAGTAGGCCCACTGTCTTGGCCTTCTGGAGTTTTGCGTTTCCTTTGGTGTGCTGTGAGACAGCTAACAGCTAGCATTTATCTGCGCTTGAGGGTTTACAGTGGGATTGACATGCTATCTCATTTGGTCCTCAGTTTTGTAGAGGTGGAAACGAAGGCAGACAGGTTCAGTGACACAGCTAGTGAGTGTCTGAGGCTGCGTTCAAACTTCATTCTACCTGACCCTGTGCCACCTGATGAACTGGATACCAGCCAGAGGAGGGATAAAGGATAAGGGTTGGCTTTAAAGGGCCTTGAAATCATGTCACTGAAGAAACTGGTGCTATTACAGAATAGGAAAAGAAAAAGCGGGGTAGGAGGAGCATAATGGCTCTCTTCAAGTATCAGTGGAACTCTCATAGAAGAAGGATCTGACTTATTCTGTTTGGTCCCAGAGGGCAGGGACAACTGTGAGCTGTAGAGATGCAGGCACAGGCTTGGTGTAAGGAAAAGCTTCCTAATGATTAGAGCTGCTTCAGGGAGCAGGGGTTTTCCCACACTGGAGGGCTTTGAGTGGCAGCTGGGCTACAGCTTGCTGGGTACATCGTAGAGAAGATTATTGGTCACATACAGTTGGACAAGCCCCTGAGGTTCCAACAATGAGAGACTGAACATATGAATGCACCTACTAGGTCAGGCCTCCAGTGATGCTGGTTTATGCATGCATGCGTAGTTTGTGACTTTGCCTGCTTCTAGCCAGTGTTTGGTCCTATTTTTATTATCTGTTTATCTGTTGTAGCCCACAAGGTAATATCACATGAGCTAATAAATAAAGCACTGTGCAAACATTTAAAGCACTAGATGGATGTTAGCTATCATTATTATCATATAAGCTCATTGAGGGCAGGGAGGAGCTTCATTTTTCCCTTTGTTTTATCCCCAGTGTTGCCAAGTGATGCCATGCATACAGAGGTGCCTAGTAAATGTTCATTAAGTTGCACTGAATACTTCCATTGGGTTATGTGTAATTCTAAAGCGTGGACAGTATATATACCATATGGATGATGTTAGATTAAGGTTAATTAGTGAGATTTATTTTCTTATGCACACCTTCAAGTTTCCTTTATTTCCCCTATGATCTGAAGCTCCAGTGCAGACTCTTTTTTCAGAAAGTTAACAAAAGACCAACCTTAAAATATGTCTTTGCCTACAAGGTAGAAAAATGAAAGAACTCTTTAACAGGTAGTGTATGTGTGCCTGTGCATGTGCGTGCGTGTGTGTGTGTGTGTGTGTGTGTGTGGTGTGTGTGTGTGTGTGAGGTGGTGGTGGTGGTTGTGGGGCTAGAGTATTTTAATTGAGTTCTTGACAGCCTCATCTTTACCAAACCATCTTTAGCTACCTCATCCATGGCAGCCAAAGCAAACCAAAAGCTTCTAAGTCTGGTACTCAGCTATCCTCTTGTGCAGATGTTTCCTCTCCATTCTCTTGGCCTTGTGACAACAAAGACGTGGCAGTGCCTGTGGAGGAAGAGAACTTTCCATATGCCCTAAAGGTGCCAAGACCTGCCAGGATAAAGGCTTCTAAGAGAATCCAGAGGGATACACATAGAATTTCTGTCTCAAGGGGAACAAAAGCCAAGAGCCTGGCCCTCCATTGATAAAGTCATATACCCTCTCTCAAACTCTGCCTATTAGTTTAAGGCTCTTTTTCTGGACGGCTATGTATGTGTGGAGAGGCCCATATTTATAGAGGCACCACGACTCACAGCCGAAGGGAGGCTACCCAGTCCAAGAATCCCCTCTACCGCATCCCCAAGTGGTCATCCAGCTGTCACTTGAGACCCTCCACTGAGAGGAAATTCATTACTTCCTAAAGCATCCCATTTGATTTGGAAGATCTCTAAGTATTAGGGATTTTTTCATCATGTTGAACTTTAAAAGGCCATATGGCCTCAGAGCCAGAAAGAGCTGGGGTCAAGTTCTGCCTCTGACACACAGTGGCTGTGTGACCCTGGACAAGTCCCCTAACCCCAATGTACTCTAGCAGCTTTCTAAGATTGTCTGTTGCTGAGAAAGTTCCAACCTGCATTGGTAGAGGGAGACCCCCTCACGGAGGAGTTCTCTTCTATCCCAGTGAAATGACAGGTCCAGTCCCTGTCCCTATTCCTATCAAGCCCAAATCTGTCCCTCTACAACTTCCATACATTGTGCATTGGGACCATGTAGAATAAGTCCAGTCCTGATACATTATAGCCCTTGTGATACTTGAAGGCAGCTGTCATGCTTCATCCTGCCAAGTCTTCTCTCTTCTGGGCTAAACATTCCCAGTTCCTGAAAGAGAATCTCATGTCTCAAGCCCTTTCACCATCTTACTTGGCCTCTTCCTAAGTACTTTCCCAGCTGATTCATATCCTTCCTAAAATTATGGTACCCAGAATTGAACAGATGTTGTCTGACCAGGACAAGGTACATTCAACTCCAGAGATAAACCAGCAAAACTCACAACTGAAACATTTATACATTCTTTCAATAAACATGAAGCACCTAATGTATGCAGAGTATTTTCCTAGGAATTGGGAGACATAGTTTAAACATGGTCTTGCCCTCATGGAACTTACAGTCTAGACTAGGGACGTATGGGCCATTGTTTGCAGACTCCTATTCTAATAGATATAAATACTAATTATAGTTCACAATATTATGTGGTAAGTGCATTAATTAAGGTGCAAAACAAAGTAAGAGGAAACAAGAGGAATTGGTCATTCCTGATAGGGAGGACCACTGAAGAAGTCTGTAGCTGAGTTGGGTTTCGAACTGTAGATGAGACTTACCAGCTATATGGCCTAGGTGACTTATTTGATTTCTCAGAGCCCCAGCAGCAATTTTCTAAGGCTATAAGTTGCTGAGCTAATGTTGATCTGCATTGGTAGAGAGAATTTTCTCATCAAGAGTTCCCCATACCAGTAAAATCACAGGTCAAGTCCAAAATGAAGTACGGTCAGGAATTCAACATACAAAGAAGGGGAGGAAGGAGAATGAGTATTTGCTGCAGAGAGAAAATTCTGAGCCACTGTAATGAGGCAGAAAAATGAATAACTCATTTGAGGGCAAAGTGTAATTCAATTTAGCTGGAATGTGAAGGAGAATAAAAGCTGGAAAAGTCGGAAGAAACCAGATTATGGAGGACCTTGAATGACAAAATGTTTCTTAATGCCCTCTACAACATATTCCATGGTTAAGGTGACCAGGAGCAAGAAATGGAGATTAAGTCTATCCAAAATAGCAGATGAGTGATTGGTGGCACAACCAAAATACAGTTAGCAGCCTCTTTGCTTCTCCTTCCTCCCTGGAGTACTACTGCCCAGTGAACTTGCCAAACCCTCCTATCTCTCTGACCATATGTCTTCTCATTTCCCTCTTTGACCAAGGGAGAAGAAGGGTAAGAAGTTGGGAGGAAAGGGAGAACTCAACCCCCAGCTTCAAGTCATATTGCAGCCAGATGTTTAGTTTGAAATCTACCTGTGTTCCTAAGTTATTGATACTGCTATCAAAGGACATGGCCATCAACAGGTCTATAAATGTGTGGTCTGACATTGAAAGCGGAAGTTAGCCCAAAGGAGAAGAGACCTTTCCCAGTTCAGACTGGGGTGGAATTGGGCCAATTATAGAGAGACTGTTTGCATTTTTGGTAATTTCTGAGTATAAACATACTCACTAGACCACTTCTGAACCTGGAAAGAAACTTAACAAGAAAACAAGTCTCTAAGCATAGGTGCAGCAGTTAAATCCAAGTGTCCCTTTTGGCATTGCTACTGTTACCTAGCCTTAGCGGGCATTTGATGACCCTTGTAGTCATTTGGTCCCTGCTCTACATGGGAACACCCCCCCCAACATTATAGTACAATAATATCCCATTATGTTGACGTACCTTAATTTATTTAACCACTCCACAGGTGTTGGAACATCCTGATTGTTTCAAATTGTTTGCTATTACAAATTAAGTTGCTCTGAATACTTTTGTAGGGAAAGATCCTTTTTTGCTATTAATAACATCCTGTAATATATGATCTTAGGAATGAGATGACTGGGTCACAAATCTATAGAGAACTCTGTCAAATTTATAAAAATATGAGTTTTTGGAGGAAGAAATCAAAGCAAATGCAGACATATGAAAAAATGCTCTAAATTATTATTGATTAGAGAAATGCAAATTAAAACAACTTTGAGATATCATCTTATACCTATCACAGTGGCTAAAATGATAGGAGAAAATGACAAATGTTGGAAGGGATGTAGGAAAATTGAGACACTGATACACTGTTGGTGGAACTGTGAACTGATCCAGCCATTTTGGAGAACAATCTGGAATTATGCCCAAGAAGTTATAAAACTGTGTATAATGCCCTTTGACCCAGCAATACCACCATTGTGTCTATTTCTCAAGGTGATAAGGGAAAAAGGAAAAGAACCTATATGTTCTAAAATATTTATAGCTGCTCTCTTTG